AATGACCATTTCTTGAAATGACCATTTTATTTTTTAATTATAAATTGGTTTCTTAGGTTTTCGCGATTGTTACACATAGAAAATGAAACTATTTTTCATGTATTTTACACTGTTGACCGTCACCATGGGACCTGTAAAGAACCCGAAACGTCGGTTTGTTTGAAAAAAAAAACAAATATACGCGATTTAAATCCGGAAAAATAGTTTCCTATACCTATATAAATTGGTTTTTTCCTATTTTTAGACCCTTTTTGCCAATTTAGGACCATACCGAACCATGTTATTTTTCTTCCTCCACCTACACAGTAATATTATATAAAAACTTATATGAAATGTTTTATTTGCCCGTTTTTGTCAAATGGTTGCGAAATCCAGTTGCGGTGGACGGAGGGACGTTATCCTCCAGGGCGCTAATAAGCAATATCTAATGTATATACTTAAAGCAGAGAACAAAAAAGTAACGCGAATGGGCACTCTCCGCCCCTCCCTAGCTTTAGATACCGCACGACGCCCCGCACATTGACGGTCACATTGACTGAACGACAACAAGGCTGTCGGCGAGGCGTTTTCGCGCTAAGACCGCTTTGATATTTTAATATAGTTTTCATTCTCTACTGTCTAACTGCCTCTGTGGCCGAACGGTTACCATGCCGGACTGCCACGCAGAGGTCCCAGCTTCGATTCCCGGGCCGGGAGAAATATTTGTATGACCTGCATTCGTTTCTCTCGTGAGTTTGGGTGTAAATTGTGGTTACTACATGTGTGTCCATGGCACCCGCGACACAGGGTTTTCCTAGTGCGGGGCTATGTTGAGTGTGTGTGTTATTATTATTATTACTATTATTTATTCATTACGAAACTTGTACGTTAATATACAATGTCATTGTACGTTACTAATTGTAATTATCGTGAATTGTGCTGCGTACGCAGTTTATTATCATCAAAACAGGATAAAGAGACAAGTATCTGTTGTTTTCCGAAAGATGAAATGAAGATGAAAAAAACTTATGTCTGAGACTAATTTACTTATTGTTTCCTTCATTTATTTAGTGCAGTATAATATGTACTACGTTTTAACTGCTTTTAATATATTTTTATATAAATCTTCAATATTATTCTAGTTAGTGAATTAATGAAAAATATAATATTACATCGACATAAATACCTAATGAACGTCAATTATTAGGATTCTATTAATAGAATTAAAGATAACAATTCACGTTCAAATTTTCGCTATGTTGCCATTCTGACCACCTACAAGTGATGGTTAACCCTGCCACTTCACGTATACATATGCGCGTGTGCAGATAGCGTCTTGCTGTATGTAGTAGTAGTAGTAGTAGGTAAATAACTTTCGACCGTTGTATGAGTTCAAACTTGTGGTAATGTTCCTAATCCGAAGCCGAAACATATTGAATTGTAAAAGTGGTCAATGCAAGAAGTAGCCGTTTCAAGAAGTGTTCTTTTGTAGAAGTAGCATTTCAGAAATGGTCATTTGTAGAAGTGGTTATTTAAAGACGTTGTGATTCCTCATTGTGGTCCTAAGCCGCCGAAAGGCCACGACTGCCCCAAAATCAGCATTCGCCGAACTTGTCAAACTCAGTTTTGCTATCGTGTATCAGCTTACAGTAACGAAATCAGTGAAAGAAAGTGTGCTACGATATCATAACAAGTTGTATTGCACAATTATAACCTACCCTGTTGGAAGACAGGTATAAGATTACGGTGTACGCTTGGTAATTTTATTTAGTATAGCAAATTAGTCAAGTTTAAGTAAATGCAGCAAAAAAAATAGAGACCATAGCCGCAATTAACCGATTTCATCATACAATATATATTTAATACGTTTGATGTACCTCTCTGGTTGACTTGGTAGGAATGCTTGGTTGGCTTGGTTCTCTTGCTTTGGAGCTGAAAGTTTGATGTGTTATTAACTCCCTGAAGAACCCTTCTGGTTTTGACATTAGTCCATTATACGGTCCTTGCTCAAGAATAACTCCGTTTTCAAGTACTGCCACTTCGTCTGCTGATTGTATGGTGCTCAGTCTATGTGCGATTGTGAGCACTGTTCGGTCTCTACTGATCTCTTTAAGTGCTTTGTCGACGAGGTATTCAGAATATGCATCCAGAGCTGACGTAGCTTCGTCTAGGATAAGAATTTTTGGATTCTGAAACAATATAAAATTTCTGAATTTAATGAAAAGATAATTTAAAATCAGCACTTAGGAATCCCGCCGCAAGAGACTGCCACGTGGTCAAGGTTCTTTGAAATGATGCTCTGCGTCTAAAGACATGAGAACGGGGCCCCAAGTCTGTTAATTTTCTTGAAACTGGTCATTGTAATTCCATTTAGAATCCACTGAGATTATGTTGCATTTTTTTTCTTTTTAAAAGTGATTATGATCACATTTTTTAATCTAGTTGTAATGGCAGCCGAGTCTCAATAGAGTGTCAGGTGAGTCACTAACGATTGATGGTTGGCTCACCTTCTACGGAAATTAATAGCTTAATTTTTATTTCGTTTAATTAGCAATTCGACCAGCACGATCGACGTGCCAACGACTCCCCATTGAAGAGCAGTATAACAAAAAATTGCAATGGAAGTTAAATAGTAGCTCAATAAGGCACTATTTTAACTTTTAGCAGAATACGAAACATACAAAATTGTGCCATTTATGATATGATTTAAAATTAACAAACTAGGGGCCCTAACGGCGTCATGCTATATGTATGCAAAGCTGAAGGAGCGTGAGAACATTTAAACCCGTGACTGCTTCCTGGCCGCAGTATGCCTTATAGTCTGTGCTGGTCAGTATATCAGTTACTTGTAATTCAAATACGCATTTGAATAATTGTATTTCGTATTTCAATTAATACCTACAAATGTATTTCGTAATTGGTATTTCAAATACATTCGCGATATGTGGTTATTGGCAAGTATGTATTTTGTAATAGAATTTTGTATTTTTAATACAACTTGTGAAAGTATACAGTACTTAACTAATTGTATCTTTCATAGAATGTTACGATTTCATCCCAAACAATTATGACGATAATGTACATTAAGACTATCCCGTTGTATTTTTTCAACCCGCTGAAGACGACATAGGAATACAAAAAAAAAACAAAAGAAATGATCCTACGAATTTGTTTCATCATTATTCAGACATACGACGCCCACTGCTGGGCATAGGCGTCCAACGATCTCCACGACGATTGGTCATCGGTTTCCCGCGACCTTTACCAGATCGTCGGTCCACCTGATGGGTGGTCTACCCACTGAGCGTTGTCCGGTGCGCGGTCGCCATTGAAGAACCTTTCCGCTCCAACGGCCATCGGCCAACGACCCGCCCACTGCCACTTCAGCTGAGCAATTCTTCGAGCTATGTCGGTTACCTTAGTTCTCCTACGGATTTTCTCATTTCTGATTCTAGCACGTAGGGAAATACCGAGCATCGCTCTCTCCGTTGCCCGTTGAGTCACTTTGAGCCTTCTTATGAGGCCCATAGTGAGGGACCACGTTTCTGATCCATATGTGATCACCGGCAACATACACTGGTCAAAGACTTTCGTCTTGAGACACTGAGGTTATTTGGACGCAAAGATTCTTTGTAGTTTCCAGAAAGCTGCCCATCCGAGCTGGATGCGACGAGAGATCTCTTTCTCAAAGTTGGACTTACCTAACTGGACTGTCTGCCCCAGGTATACGTAATGGTCAAGAAGTTCGAGTGGAATGCTCCCAATTTTAACTGGAGCGGGTACAACATGGACATTCGACATGTCTTCGTCTTGTCCATGTTCATCTTAAGACCCGTTCTTCGGGAAACACTACTGAGGTCTTAGAGCATTGTGTTCAGGTCTCCCAAGGTCTCAGCCATAAGAACTATATCATAGGCAAATCGAAGGTGTGTCTCTCCTCATCAACTCGCCATTGATGTTGATGCCAAGTCCTTTCCAGTCCAGAAGCTTGAAAATATCCTACAACGCATCATCAGCAGTGAACAGTTTCGGAGATATCACATTTCCCTGTCTCACGCCTCGTTGCAGATGGATAACATTAGAGCTCTGATCTGTAACAGGACTGACATAGTGGCGTTTTTGTATAAGTACCTTATCACCTCGATATACCTATAGTCTACTCGGCACCTTTGGGGAGACTGCAGCACCGCCCAGGTCTCGATCGAATCAAAGGCGTTCTCATGGTCTACAAACACTAGGCAAAGTGGCTGGTTATACTCTTCGGTCTTCTGTATAACTTGCCGCAGCGAATTTGTTTTAGTGGCGTCTTTTTGAGGTGACTATACCTTAACAATCGCTCTGGCTATGGCGACGCGTTGCTTCTGCCCACCGCTGAGCTGTCCGCCACGGGCTCCAACCTGCCGCTCCCAACCTTTGGTCCCAACCACCACCTCTTGCAGATGGGCTGTTCTCGCTGCACGTAACCATGCCGAGTCCTGAAACCAAATTAATTTGCTCTTAAAAAAACTTAAAAAACCGACCTCAAAAGTTGATGGAATTACATCTATTTGCCAAATTGTATGGAAATCGGTTACAGGACAGTTTTTTTATATGCTACATGCCTGTCCATAACAGTTCCAGTGCCACTCAGAACTTTAAATCGCAAAGATCTGAGGGGTACTGCCACTGCGCCCGTCACCCTGAAACATAAGTTGATAAGTCCCAAGTGCCTGTAATTTCACCAGCACCCTAAAAGTGCGCGAACCGGATTCACCCCCCAAATTGCCGCCTTCAGAGGTGGAGGTTCTTCAAATTGAGATAGGAGCACTGCTGAGTTATCCTCTTTCCACCCAAGAAAGAATCATCAAAATTAGTTCACACATATAAAACATCGAGTTATCGTGTAACATACATACAAAAAAAAGACGAATTAAGAACCTGCTCCTTTTTTGAAGTCGATTAAAAATTAACTGAAATTACACACACTGGCACATTTAACGGAACAAAAAAATGAAACAGTAACGTTTAAATTTAAATAAATAAGAATTAAACTCGATTTATTTTTATTTTCAAATTGGACCTAAAATAAAAAAAAATAACCGACCACACTTTTGAAAAAGTATTGCATTATTTTGAGGGTTTTACTAGCGTTCCGGTAAATGTGTATAGTGTGTATTTTAAGGCCAAATCGTGTGTACACGAATCTAAACAACTTTTACCATGGAAGTCAATTCTAAATCGCAAAAAATATATCAACTGTCCCATACGTTTTGATCCAGTAAAAAAAACACAAAAGACAGCTCCTTAATAAGAGTTATAATAATTTGTATAGACAAATTAGTTTCTTACCTCATCGTCATTACCAGAAGTCGCTTGTTGATCATCTAATGCGCCGTACAGAATGTTTTCTTTAATGGTGCCGCTGAATAGCACAGGTTCCTAAGCATATTAAAAAAGTATAAATAACTTATACAAACAAAAGTTAGTGATTTCAGATTTTCAACATCAATTCTTGACCATAGTGTCAAGAATTGATGTTGAAAATCTGAAATCACTGATCTAAACGTGTGATCCTCTGTGGCCGGACCACCTATAAGTACTCGGATGCAGTGGTACAAAATAATGAGTACCGAAATTCTACTTTCCTAGACATACAACAAAATTAATAGTACCTTGATAGATTACGAAATATTTAGTAAACTGCATCTAATAACTTCTAAACTAATGTATTTTTTTGTAACTACACTTTCTATATGAAAAGTAGTCTTTGGGTACTTTTTTGCACGTGTATCATGTTTTTCTAAATCCAGCTTGGCGCGGCGGGAGAGTACTGCTTTGCGGCCGGACCACCTAAGTAGTTAAATAATTCGTAATCTATCGACGTACTATTAATTTTGTTGTATGTCTAGGAAAGTAGATTTTAGGTACCAATTATTTTGTAGTACTGCATCCGAGTACTTATATGTGGTCCGGCCACAGAGGATCACTTGATCTAAGCTGATAGTTCAACAAATACGTTCAAAACAAATTATTTATCAAGTTCTCAGATTTTCGCGATTGTTATACATAGGAAATGGAAATATTTTTTCGAATCGATTTAGAGCTTGAAAAAACAAATCGCGTATATTTGCTTTTTTTCAAACAAACCACGCCTCTGGCCCGAAACTGTTTGATATAAGTGGTTGAAGACTTTGCCATCTCAATCTGCCGTGCGTGACCAAAGGCCTTAAACATTGGTTTGTTTGAAAAAACAAATATACGCGATTTAGAACCGAAAAAATAGTTTCAATCCCTACAAATAATTTAATTACAAAATGTGTCAATTGTTCAAATTGAAGTGAATTTCTTAGCCTTTCAAACTAAACGGACAAGACCAATTATGCGTATACGCGGAGAAGAAAGTGGATATTATTAAATAACGAATACAAATTCATTATTTTGACACACGAAATCTTTTAAATCTTTTAAAAAACAAAGAGAGAGAAAGAGAGAGAGAGAGAGAGAGAAGAACAATTTATACAATCCACAGAATTTCAATACCGCTAAACAGTGAAATACGCACCTGACTGACGTAACCAATGTGACTCCTTAACCAAATTGGGTCAAGTTCATTTATATCTACATTGTCCAAGTATATTTTTCCTTTGTCCGGGTTATAAAGCCTCAATATTAACGCAGCAACTGTACTTTTCCCGCAACCAGATCTTCCGACAAGGGCTAAAGATTTCCCAGGCAATAAATGCAAGTTTAGGCCTTTGAGTAACGGTGCTCCTTGGTAGGAAAAATGTATATTTTCTAACACTATTTCCCCTTTAGGCCTCTGTACCGGCCGTAGACCACCTAAAACAACATTAAGAGTTAACATGTGTAAACGTAAATTTAAAACTTATAATTTTAACGTAAATAATTCTCTACTATTACATTTTAAGATTGCAGTAAAGTCTGAAGAGTTTTGGACAAATCCTTAATTAACTATTCACTTTCAACTTTGGACTACCAAATAAATGGATGTCAGACCGATCATGTGCCCTACACTCGAAGCATGAAATCCGTAGTTATGGCCGTTTTTGCCCTATGGACGGCCTACGGTACTATTCTCAAAGTCGGTCAATGAAAAGACGGGCCCGCTCGAAACTGTCAAATCCCGTTGTCATCTTAGACTATGGAAACTAAAGGACATGTTATGTTGACATATATAAATCAGACGTTATATGTATATGATGCATTTCGGCGTTGAAAACATAAACATGTTATTGTCTTTGTTTAACTATTGCATGCCGTCTTAATCCAAAAGAGATAGCATTACATTGGTCTGTGTCAAATACGGGAATCGAAAGACGTAACGTCATCTTAAATGCCAACCGTGTCCATTTCGCAGTACATGAGGTACATGATACGGTTGTCAAAGGGAAGTAGGTACATCAAATGTCAAAACAAAAGTTTTTCCAAGTGTTTTATTGAATTATTCGCATGTATTGTAAAATAATGAACAAAAATGTTGACAGTGAGAACAATTAAGTATCAATAAAAATTCGTCACTACAGCATTACGCGACGTGGCATTTGAAAAAGCGAAGATCGACCGAATGTAACGTTGTACAGCCACGTGTTATTTTTCTGTCTATAAATCACACAAAAGCCCAAATATTTCATGTAATTAGACATATTTAAGTAGTTTATTCATAAATCTTGCCAAATTTTGCTTTGGTTTCTTCAGATTGCCTGTTGTTAACGATTGTTTTGAGATAGTGTTGTTCTTAGAAGCGTATATATTATCGAAATTCTGTTATTAAAATAATTCACTACGAGCTTTTTATTATTCTATTATTATTATTTTTACTATTTCTATTTTACCTACAAATCAAAAAAGTTCAATTCGATTTTATTCGCTTCATTTTTAAGAGTCAAATTTTAACATAACTTTGAAGGTAACTAGATTACATGATAATGCAATTCCATCATTAGGTTTATTGGTAAATAATTTTATATTTAATTTAGATTAAACAAGACTCATTTACTAGGCATTCTGAGTTCCTGAAAACAAAATTATCCACTCGTTTCCGATTTTTTCCCACTGACAACTCTAACTACTAAAAATTCTTATTTTATAAAGTCAGCAATACAAAGACCATGTTGGTCTAACGTTGCCAGGTGAAGGCCAACGTATAGACAGCCTGTTTGCCTTGCCGTGCCATCGTTCGATGTCACTCGCCTAGCTGACCGAGTGAAGGCGAGCGCTAACGTGTATAGAGCTCGTTTGACGTGCCTTGTCACAATTCGTAGTTGCTCGTGACTACTTGTCTCACTTCGGAGAAGTGTCGATTTTTCTGCACAAATCAAAGGCGCTCGGCCCATAGTAGTCAATTGACATTGTATAATCAGACATTTACATGTTATTTAATATATGCGAAACATGTTTATACTAACACTGTCTCTTGTCACATCTCCTGTTATGCCATGTTTAAAGCACATAAACGTATGGTAATAATATTAGTGTTGATAACTACTTTCATTTATTTCTAAAATTAAATGGAAGTATTAAAGATTCACTTAAATCAGTCACTGATATTAATTCAAGCTGACACTATTTGGAATCTATTTAAAAATTTATCTGTGAAAATAAGAATCTTGAGGTTGGACATGTATAGGATTTATATTTCAAAGTTTTCTCTTTTTTATATACTCTTAAATTACAAAATATTATTTTTTTCTGTGCTAATCCACTTTTCGTAATATTTGAGTATTTGCAAACGCAAAACAATAAATTTCAAATTTCATGTGACATTCCCGGATATTCCCATTTAACCTAAAATATACCCAAATGGAATATTGATCTACTTTAATTAAATGTTTGCATGTCGATAGTGACTTATCTATAGATTATGGTACGACACTAAAGAAATCCGCCATTTGTTCGTTCAATTTTTGTTTAGGTATGCACGTTCATTCCGTAGTTAGGGCAGCTCATTTCTTTTATTTTTTTTCCATCCTCTAAGGTTGTCATACATAATTATAGTCTTAGCATTGTATAATTAGGACAAGACTTGGTAACTCCATTCATACTTAGCAGCACGACTTATGTGTGTGCACGCACACATTCGCATAATGAAACACGCGTAAAACGACTCAGCGCTATGCAACGCGAGTGCATCGCGAAATTATGCGAATTTGTGCGTCCGTACATGGCACGCGGCGAACGCACTCACACAAACCGCGCTACTACGTTTGTATGGAGTTACCATGCTTGTATTATTATACTACGGTTTTATGTAATACCAAGGGACGGGATGTACAAGTCATGGACCTGGTGGTAAGCGCCACCACGCCTGTCAGAGCTTTCAAACGCTAAGATCGGATGGGCACTACCACTGCGCCCGTCAACCTGATACAACAATGCTATGCTAACAATGCTAGTTGACAAGCCCCAAGTGCCTGTAATTTCACCAGCACGACTGCCCTTCAAAACCGGAACGCAGGTAGATAACGCTGACATTACTGCTTGGCGGCAGAAATAGGTCAGGTGGCAATAATTCCATGGACGAACTCTTTCACAAGGAGCTCTACTGCTGGTTTTGACCCTATCGAAACTCAAGTCCCTAGGTTATCCATAGTGGGAAAACGGCCGTTACTACGGATTTCGTACTTCGAGAATAGGGCCCCAGATACCGAATGAGTGGAGAAACATTCAAAAGGCCCTCACATATGAGACGATTTGTTTTCACAATAATCTGTCGTTTCAGGCTGATCGAAACGACGAATCGATAGTGTATACTTATGTCGTTAACAATTAACTCGAACGGCAGAGCAGTAGCGGCGGATCGATTACCGTCACGATCAACAGAAACGAGGAATCGTCTGTTTATTGGCCTTTACACAGTGTAGCGTGTCTGCTAAAAAGGAGTAAGAATTACTTCAAATACAATAAAATCATTATTAAAAGAAACTGAGTGGATCAGCATTAAAAAAATTAGTCAATTTTATTCATTTTGTATGAAAAATCATTTTATTAAATTTGACCAACTTGTGTTGTCCCGATTTTTTCTTCCTTTACAATAAAATCACCCTTTAAGAAACTGAGTCTATTAGCATTTAATAAATTTTATTCATATTGTATGAAAAATATTTTATGAAATTCGACTAACTTCGGCAGTCCCGATTTTTTTGTCCCATACAATGAAATGATCCCTTCATGAAACTGAGTCGATGAGCACTGAAAAAATGTTGGTCAATTTATTCATTTTTATGGACACTTCATACTTGACCAAAAAATTGACTATGCCAAAATTGATTTCATAAAAAAAGACTAAATGGTTCCTAAGACAGTATCCTTGTATTTTCTCTGGTTTGGTGGTTTCGGATTTTCCCATACTTTCCCTTTAAAAAAAAACACTATACATATATTAAGTTGACTAACCTGTAACAGGAATAGTAGGCTTTCTATCAATAATCTCCCATAACCTCGTGGCAGCTCCCATGCCTTTATTGAGCTCAGTATAAAAACTACTCAGACCTCCGATACTGATACCAACATACGCTGCATACAAGAGGAATGACGTCAGATTTCCTACAGTGAGTTGTTCAGTTGCAACCATTCCACCTCCATAGTAAAGTACTAAGATGATTATGGTGTTGCCTGACAGACCGGTCTGCGAAAAGAAATACAGGTATATTATACACTGACTATAGAGAACTGTTACTTATTTTTACGTTTTTTTGCTATGGTAAATGTCAGTTTGGGTCCGGTTGGGTTTGGGGGGCCGGTTGGGGGCAGGTTGGGGGGCCTGTTGGGGGGCCGGTTGGGTTGCCGGCTGGGGGGCCGTTTGGGTGCGGTTTGGGTGCGGGTTGGGTGCGGGTTGGGGGCCGGTTGGGGGGCCGGTTGGGTGCCGCTAGGGGAGCCGGTTGGGGGCTGGTTGGGGCAGGCTGGGGGGCCGTTTGGGTGCCGGTTGGGGAGCAGGTTGAGGGCCGGTTGGGGCCCGGTTGGGTGGCTGGTTGGGGGCCGATAGGGGTGCTGGTTGGGGACCGGTTGGGGGACTGGTTTGGGGTGACGGCTGGGTGGCCATTTAGGGGGCCGTTTGGGGGCTGGTTGGGGTGCAGGTTGGTGGCCATCATTTTCGAGGTATTTGTGGGTGCTTATTACGAATATGGCACTCATTTCTAAATCCAAGACGGCGGACACGATTTTTCAAATAATGGCAAGTTGGGTATCGTTTTCGAGATATTTGAGAATGCTTATTACGAATATAGCATTTATTTCTACTTCCAAGATGGCGGACACGACTTTTCAAGTAAATGCAATATGGGTATCATTTTCGAGGTATTTTTGGGTGCTCATCACGAATATGGCACTCATTTCTAAATCCAAGATGGCGGACATGATTTTTCAAATAATGGCAAGTAGAGTATCGTTTTCGAGGTATTTGGGGGTGCCCATTACAAATATAGCATTTAACTATTAGTCCAAGACGGCGGACACGACTTTTGAAGTAAATCCAATATGGGTATCATTTTCGAGGTATTTCGGGGTGCTCAATACGAATATAACTACCTAACCCACCCCCAACACACCCGTCAACCCACTCCCAAACCCACCCCAACTCACGCCCAACCCAACCCACCCGTCAACCCACCCCAAGCCACCCCCAAACCAACCCACCCCAACCCATCCGTCCACCCACCCCCAACCACCCGTCAAACACTCCTAACCCCAACCCACCCCAACCCATCCGTCAAAAACACAACCCACCTACTCCCCAACCCAGCAAACCAACCCAACCTCCAACCCCCCCAACCCATCCCCAAACCACCCACAAAATAACCCACCAACCCCCCAACCCACCACCACACACCAACCCCCAACTCAACCCAACCTTTTTTTTTTTTTTCTTTCCGGGGGAAAATCCGTCATGGATACCACCGCGTCACGGGGAGGCGCGGTGGTTATGTGAGACTCCTACTCACTAAAAACCCCCGGGTATTCCCACACTCCGCATGGGACGGGGCTGTGGCCACGTGGTTTACGATCCACGGCCCCGCCTGCGGTTGTCCGCGACTGCGGACCCACCTCTGGGAGACTTTCTCCACTCCGTCGTTAGTGGCATGTCGGGAATACTTGGCATGCCAACCAACCCGTGAACCCTTGCCCAGTGAGTGACAAAGCCCCCGTCTTGCACCCAGGGTTCACTGTCAGGGCGGCAGTTGGCGGGCATAGGCCAGCCGCCTGCGCCCTAAACGTTTGCGGCGCATAGGATGAGAGGAAGGGTCTCCCTCTCGCTCCCGCTCCGCCGCCTCTTTCCGCGACAATACATCGGTGCAGAAGGAGGCCACCGCATTCCACGCCCTCTCACTGCCGAGCATGGCTCGCACCACGGTCGACAGGGATAGGTCATGCCCCACCACTGCGGTCAGGGTTGACCGCTGCTCGTCGAACGCCGGACATGCCTGCAGTGTGTGCTGGGCCGTGTCTTCGGCGCAGCCACACTGATGGCATACGGTCGTCGGTTCTCGTCCCACCCTGCACAGGTATTTGCCGAAGCAACCGTGCCCCGTCAGAACCTGCGCAAGGTGATAGGAGATGCCTCCCCAGGATCGATCCGCTCATTTTGCCAGTACTGGTCGAATCGCTCCGATGGTCCAGTTGCCAGATCTCGGCTCCTCCAGCTTCTCTTGCCACTTCCGGAACACGTCCCGTCGGATGTTTATCCGCCATCGATTAATGTGCTCCAGAAGTGGCTCCTCCCCTTCGGACCTCAGCTCTGCCGACCGCCAATAGAAAGCTGACAGCCCCTCTGCATCCAGATCCCATGGTGGGGTACCTGCCATGACGCATGCCGCCTCGTAAGAGGTGGTGCGATATGCTCTCGACACCCTGACCGTTATGACTCGCTGCGGTCTCCGCAGCAGGGTCTTGCCTTGAGCGGTGAGGCTATTTGCCCATATGGGCGCTCCATACATGGCCATCGAACGCACCACCCCCGTATACAGGCGTCGACAGTTGGCACTCGGCTCCCCCACATTCGGCAAAAGCCGACTCAGGGCGGAAGCTGTACCCACCAGCTTTGGAGCTAGGAGCCGGAAATGCTCTTCGAACCTCCATCGACTGTCAAGGACCAGTCCGAGGTACTTCATGGTACTCTTAACAGCAATGGAGGCTCCCCCCACCATCAATGTCGTGCCCGCGCGCGGTGTGTTCCGAGGCCCATGGAAGCACACAGCCTCAGACTTCTCCAGTGCTACCTCTAGGCCCAAACGCCGAATCCTGGTCACGGTATGGGCAACCGCAGCCGTGGCTAACACTATAGCCTCCCGGTGCGTGCTGCCTCGGGCCGTAACCAGGGTGTCGTCGGCGTAACACACTACATCGACTCCACCCATGCACTCCCCACGCAGCACCCAGTCGTACCCGATATTCCACAGGAGCGGTCCGAGGACTGACCCCTGTGGCACACCGCACGACACGCTCCATCGACCCACCCCATCGCGGCTTGGATATACTACGGCTCTATCGGAGAGGTAGGACTCTACCATCTTCCGTAGATACTCGGGCACGCAATGGAACTTCAGCGCCTCTAGTATGGTGGACCAGGGCAGTGTGTTGAAGGCGTTGGCGATGTCAAGAGACACCGCCAAGAGCACTTCGCGATTGCCCACCGCCTCGTCCGCCAGGTCCCTCAATTGTGCAATGGCATCAATGGTGGACCTGCCTCGACGGAAACCAAACTGTTTGGCGCTGAGGTCCGGTCCTACCTCTTTCAGATGCCTTATGAGTCGAGCGGCGATCACTCTCTCGAAAAGCTTACTTAACTCATCCAGCAGCACGATCGGCCTGTATGCTGATGGCGACTCAGCCGATCGTCCCTCTTTTTGGAGCAGGACCAGCTTACCAATCTTCCACCTCTCTGGAAAATGGGCTTGCTCCAAGCAGGCACTCATGAGCGCTCTCGTTCGCGGTTCTAGGGGACCTAGGGCCAGCACCAGTGCACGACCAGGTACCCCATCCAGGCCTGGGGCGGTGTTTTTGGCACGTAGCCTCAACACCGCTGCACCCAACTCTGCCTCAGTGACCTCGTGTGCACCCGTGCTACCTCCTTCGTCCTGGTTTGGTTCCGCTGCCGGCGCCATCGGCGGAGGTGTGTGGTGCGCCCTTTCTGGAAATAGGGCTCTCACAACCTGTTCCAGCAGTTCGGGCTGGAGACTCTGCGTTAATGGGGGTGCCCATGGGCGCAATTTGCACCGCACCGTCTTGTACGGCCTTCCCCACGGATCGCGGCCTCCAGCATCTCTGACCTCTCCAGGTCCCTTGCCCTGCCGATAGCAACCCGCAACAACTTGCAGGCTTCGCTATAGGCCCCGTAGAGTCGCGAAAGCTCCTCCACATCTCTCCTACGGCGCCTTTGGCACCGGTGATGCTGGCGTCTTGCCTCCTCACAGGATTTTCGCAGCTGGGCAAGCTCCGTGGACCACCAGCTCACTTTGGGCCGAGGGGGATGAGGTCTAACACGTGGCATGGCCGAGTCGCACACGTTGGTTAACGCCTCCCTCAGCCATTGAGCCTCCCTCTCCACTACGACCGGACCTTCAGGTATTGGTACCCAGGTCTCTGATCCGGACTTGTTTTCAACATTTGTACGGGTTCGCTTCCGGCGGTCCTGCCAAAATTTACAACGCGCCCCTTCCGTCAGGGATTCAATAATATTCAGGCTGTTCCGAGAGCCTGACTGTGACTCCGGAAGTTGCTGTACGTTCTGGACACAATGTGGTCCATGGTGTGAAGCAATTATTTACTCCCCAAAGTTCTCCTCCACAACGTTTGCTGCCAGTGTCTTAGAGCGCATGTAGCGTTCTAATACATCTGCGGGTAGGCGCGCAACCTGCACCGCCGCAACTTTCAATGTTTCAGCCACCTCCTGTCCATCTACTGAAACGTGCGAAATATCTATATCCAGATTCGTAGCCAGGTCGTGTTCACGGGAGTCGGCTTCCAGCCGACTCACGAGGCAGTTTTTGCCCCCCCCAGAGTACGAGGGGCTGCCATCCACCGAAGCGGATGGGCGGGATTCCCCCTTTCGGGGACCAGCCTGGGGACCATTTTCAAAACTAGCCTTTTCCATGTATCTTGTGTTTTAAGAGGGTTCACTGATCCAGTGAGGCGCTCTAATGACTGGATACCCTCCAGCTATACATCCCATCACCGGGCGCCAAAGCTTGGAATTGGGGTGATTTTTAAAGAGGTTTTCTTCCTCGTGGCCCTTCTCTCAGTGAAAAGGACCCCCGTTCCCGCTCAATGCGGGGTTACGGGTTGCCCGACGCTGGATGAGACCAAGGTCTGTCTGAAGACAGACGCGTCGCGCAGAGCGGAAGACATAGTATTCCGCAATCCTCTATTTGACAGATCCGTCCCGGGGAACCGGTACCCACCATATCTGGCAGGCGTGTCTCGCGACAACGGATCTGTCTCATCTCCTAGCTCAGCATGAGGCTGAGTATCCGCGTAGACTCTCCACTGTGCCCTCTGCTGATCAGAGGGACACGCGGAAAGGCCCTCCGTTTGCTTCTTAGCTTCACTACAGGCTGGGTTGCCTGCAGCTACTGAGCCCCCCCACCACGACAAGGTGAGCAATGACGGGGGGGACTCACGCCCAACCCATACGTCAACCCACCCCAACCCACCCACCCCCAACCCACCACCCCTACCCACGCCCGACCCAACCCACCCCCTACCCCAACCCACCCGTTAACAAAAAAATGTCCCAAGTCAACCTATTTAAACGTAGTGACATGTCAAGGAATATAAAAAAGCTAAAACGTTGAATTTAAATTGTAATGTCATCGCAGTACTGTCTAATTTTGCTTGCTTCGCTGTCAGTCGAACAAACGAAGACTAGAGCGTGAATGACGCTCTGTATACGATTTTAACGCCCTATAAGTTCGGACACTTTTTAGCGCGGACCCGACGTCCATATAATTGTAAGTCAATGACAGGGTCTATGATAAATGATCCACATGATAATAATATTTTATTGTCACAATATAATAATAATATTTATTGTCACAAAATAGATTACAACATATTGATGAAGTCCCTGACTCCTGAGCTAGGTATAACCTGTGTGACAGGAGCCAGTGCCCTCTCCCAAATTTTGACAAGGCTTAAGTCTATTTCATGAGAAAAATATAAATTAAAAATTTAATACAAAAAAAAACACACACCACACATCCACATGCGCGAAAATAAGTGTGGTATTTTGTTTTACATATATGTTGTTTGTGTACATGTATATTTTACATACATAATTAAGATTATAGTTACTATTATAACACTAAATAAGTGTTTATGTAAACAAATAACATTGTATTATTATTATAACAAAATATATTTTCAACTCACCAAGCCATAGAAACTTCCGACCGCTAAAGATTCTTTATACGCCAACCTAAGAACGTTTTCGATTTTCTGACCATACGACCGCTCCTCTGCCGCTTCTTTACTGAACGCTTTCACAGTCTTTATATTTGATATCTTCTCTTCCGCTAGCTGTAAGTAAAAGATGTAATTAAAGCACAAGCTCGGCAAGAGGTATCGACTTTTACAACAATAAATATAGCACACACTCATATCCCCGCACTAGGGAAACCCTGGGTCGCGGGTGCCATGGACACACAAATAGACAACCACCAACTACACACAACTCATATATATATGTAGGCCATGCAAATATTTCTCCAGGCCCGGGATTCGAACCCGGGACCTTTGCGTGGCACACCAGCTAAGTACCCGTTCGGCCACGGAAGCAGTTATACAAAAGCTCACTTTGAAAGTATTAGAAATTTAATATTTGCCTTTCTCTACTAAGGCGGTTTTCACATGGATGGTGACGCAGGTTTCGGTGACTTTAGCTTCGCGATGACTTACAAGTATCGCATACAGCTGTCGCATCGTAGCGTCTTGATGTAAAAGACAAATATAAACCAATTCTATATACAAAGTTTCGCAATGTCAATGCGAGATGGGCCACCGTGTGAGAACCGCCCCTGGCGAAAAGACGTTCACATGTCACATAAAACAACATAGAACCTCTAAGCAAACTTATTTCGATAAGCTTTCTGTCCTAAAAGCATAATAGTAAGTTCTAGATGGTCCCATGTATGGCAAAGGAGAATACCAACCGCACTTGTTTCTGCCAAGGAATCCTGCAATTGTCGCGTGATACCCCTCACAAAGCGACCGTAGAACACGGCTAAAATTGATACGGGAGGCACTATGCATAGTCCAATCATTGCTAATGATGGTGACATGTAGATCTGTAAACAAACGTGCGATATACTTAGTTTAATCTATAAACTCTTGGGATCCAACACAATAATGCGTTTAGTTAAATGTCAGAAATGTTCGTTGGAGCACATGTGGATTATTTTTACGCGACAACGCGTAAAAGATGGGCATCTCTAGTATATACAATAAGTGCGTGACAGCTCGAACAGTATATTGTACCTACATAATCGCCCACAGAATAGACTGCAATTATATTGGCCACTGTAGCACCATTTCAAATGGGATGTACATGGACTGTACATAAAAGTGGAATTTTTCTTAATTTTTTTAAATACTTCTTCTTGGCGTGTTGACTCTGACGTTTATATTTGTGAGGCCCAGTGTTTAGCGACGGATTTAGAGACTCCAAGTTTGCCAAGGTAGATCATGCCCATGAGAGAGGTGCTCAGACAGCGAGATGAGTGATGCCGTGGAGTACTCTCTTTACAGAGACTATTATATTTGCAATAAAATTTTATTTTATATACGAAACTTTTAACACAATTATGGAAGTATTTTACGTGATTACGCGGTAGTATTACACATGTTACACATCAGTTATAAAAATAAAAATGAATTAGTTACCATCATACCAGTACCAGCGCCGACCATGAAAAATGACCGTAATCCATCACTGACATTCTGACTGAGGTTTCTGCCCACCAGTTGTGTATCAGCCGACAGTCTGTTTACCAATTCGCCAGTCGACGTCTTACCAAACCAAGCTGGTTCTTGACGCATGATTGCCCCAAACACTTGCTTGCGGAGAGTTTGGGTCATGCGTTGACCTGAAAACAAATTTAGATAATAGTTAGCACATCAATTTCGAAAAAGTCAGACGTGCAAGCCGAGATTCGAAACCACGACACACTGACTGAGAGGCGGTTGGTCCAAGCATTAGGCTATTACGGCTTATTGAGATTTAGCTAATATCAACGAAAAACATGTGAGTCGAAAAAGGATAATGGCCACTTAGTGACGGCGAGGCTATTCTTTTAATTTTGATAAATTATATTGTATATTTTTTTCTATAGCTCTTATAACAACTCGAAGTTTTTCCACAGTACACAATATATACGTGCACTAATGCCTCCTCATTTTTTAAATGATATCAAATAAGTCATGTGCAGAGTCACAATTGCAGTATCACTGCACCCATTACCCTAAGATATAAGACAAGTCCCATGTGCCTGTAATTTCACCAGTATTTTCACACTTGAAATCCAGAGCACAGTAATGCTCACGTTGCTGTTTGTTGGCAGGAGAAGGTATGGTAAAACACTCCATGTATAATAAAAAAGGAAATTAATACCATTAGGAAACTGTAAGTACATCACCACACCAAATCTTGTAAACATGTTATATACTTAACAGAGAGAGCGGGTGAGCGGGTGGGCTAGGTGAGTGTTGTGTATCGGTCTAGTGAGAACCCTAATGCACAAATAAATAATGAAGATCAAGTGCGGGTAGTTAGTAGCACGGCTAGAAGATGCTGACACCCACCTCTTCAGTCCCTTCGAGACCATGGACGTTGCAATATGTCCCAAACGTTGAGGTAAATATAATATGTTTTATACGTGATTAAGTCCCGAATTAAAAATCAAATTATTATTAATAACTTTACAACACAATGATTACACACATGTAAATAGCAAGTAAGTCATTAATTGATAAATTAAATTATTAACAATAACACAATTTCCATAATGGCATATGGTACGGACAGCAGCACATCAAGCTACACATTGACTTATCTTGTTCCATTGTACTGGAGACAATATTCGAACAAAAGTGTATAGTTTGATGTGCTGTTGACTGTACTATAGAAATAAAATTATATTACCTTGGAAATTATAATTTATTAATATTAATGCATATAATTTATATATTTTGTACAAACAAACCCAAGTTTTGGGCTCTTTATAGATCCCATGGTCACAACTGGCTGATGATTATACTGTCTATTTTATTGCATTAGTATTATTGAAAATAAAGTATTGTTTTTCGATCTAAATCATGTATTTTTGTTTTTCTAAACAAACCAACATTCAGGGCCTTTACATAGCGCATGGTCATGGCTGACTGTTAATATTACAATTAATCACATTTTTATCCCAACCTAACCTACCTAACCTAACCAATAATAAATAAGGAGGTCCACCTGAAAAATTATTATACTACAGATATTCATGAACAACATACCAGATATAGACATTAGGTACACTCTGCCAAAGTTGCACAACCCTCCAATTAGAAAGACTCCACACAATATGAAACAGAGAGAGTCCAGCTTCTCACGAGCAGAGCCAAGATCATTTGTACTACTGTATATAATATCTAATACCTTGCCTAGTGAAAATGGCACTGCCATAGTTACACTAGATGATATTACTAAGAAAAGTATAGCACCTGGAAGCATACAAACATAAATTAGGTGATTTTAATATCACATTTAAACCATGATGGTTATCATCACATTGGGAAATAGTAAACACTGTGAGAACATTGTAAATTGACAATGTGAATTGAATTCACAACTAGGAATTTGGCAAGATTGGGAGCAAAATTAATTTTCATTTTATTTCTTATGCTATGCAGTAATTTCGCTTACGGAACACTATAATAAAATTTGGCAACATGAAACTACGATGAAGATCACACAAGTGAAATGTGACCAAGTTACCATCACGGCACACCCCGGACACTCCATACAACGGTCCAAAATTATTTACCTACTACTACTACATACAGCAAGGCGCTATCTGCACACCCTGCCTTGTTGTCGTTCAGTCAATGTGACCAGCAATGTGCGGGGCGTGATGCGGTATCTAAAGCTAGGGAGGGGCGGAGAGTGCCCGTCCTCTTTACTTTTTGTTCTCTGATCACGGGAACACTATGAATCTAGTTCGCAATTAGTATTCCCGGTAATTAATAATTACCTATATCAAGGAGGTACAATTCTGTATTTACCAGTAAGATTCCATTTCTCAGGCGCAGCTAAATTAAATAATCGCTTTATATCTGAAGTCTTTAATTTCACATTGATTTTTTTATCTGCTTCCAAAGAACCCTTATTGTTTAACGCATTGATAGATGTATCTTTCTTCTGTGTATCCACTTCACTGGCGTAAGATCTCGCTTTCACACAGGATATCCCACCTTTGAATGCTGGTGCTTCCGCAGCATTTCGTAACCAAATTATTTGTCTACTCGAATATAACCTGACTCCACAATGACACGACTGATTTTGAAAAGGCAACCTAAACAATATATTTGTATGCCTACTGGATATTTTGGCGTCGAATCTAATTTGAAGTAATCGTTGCAACATTTTCAAACACTGTAACTTCGTGGACAAAATTGAAAATAAAACATTTGATTTTTTTATTTGTTTAATCTGTCAGATCAAATGTCAAATGTCAATGGCATTTTTTTTTCTTTCGTTCTACAAAAAGTATAGGCTATAGAGCAATGAGAGAGAGTCAAATACTATACTGCCTCATCTTTAGTAGAGCGAGGTAGTAGTCCTCTCCTTCCTCATTTTCCTTGGCAGTGCCGTTGGCGTTGAATGTCAAAGTTTTTACAAATAGTAGTAGTAGTATTTATACAAAACTGATATTTAAGTAAGGCGTAGCCTACAATCAAAAAGAGAAACACCATTAATGGGACAAGGCAAAAAAATTACCTTAGCACCATCAATGGAACTGATTGATGGTATTACGTATTACGGTAAAAAAAAAAGGGAAAATTCAAGTCAATAATTTTTCTTTTTCAGTTAAACATGGATATAATCTACAGGGCCTTAAAAATCTCCACCGGGCAAGTTTATAAACCATTTTCATATCCACCTCCTCCCAGTACACAATCGAACACAATCGAGTTCTGGCAAACATTGACATGTATTATGTGATGCAACTACAGAGGGGCGGGGTGCATTACCGTAGCACTACTCTTGGTCGACAAGGAGACAATGCACATCTAAGTAGACTGGCACGTCTGCTTAGATGTGCATTTTTTTATAATATAAAGTGACGGGACGAACAAATCATGCGCCAGATGGTAAGCTACACGCCTGTCCGCAGTTGCAGTGCCACTCAGAGCACGGTGGCAGTACTTCCCTGGACTAACTCTTTCACAAGGAGCTCTACTGCTACTAAAATATGTAAACTTTACATGTTAACAAAGAAATAAAATTATTTTTAAAATAAAATGATTTGATATATTTAATAATAAACAAAGGACAACAATAAATTAACTAAAAATATGAATACATAAAATTTAATTAATAACCAATATGACAATGTAAAGTGATAATTTCATTTCATTTCAATGTTTAATTTTAGTTTCATTTTGTTTATTGAATTTTATATTAGATTTTTTGTTTAGAATAATTAACTAATTTGAATGTTTAATACGTTACGGTTCATGTTAGGTACTGATTTTTTTAAATGTACAGCAACATGATTGCGATAAATGAATGAATTATGAATAAGATTGCTGTAGTGTCATCACTTCTTATACAAAAAATTGAAAACAATTGCAACGATCTGCTGACCTCATTCTTCGATATTAAAATACGATCGGTTCGTATTTCATACTAAATATCCGCAATCCATAAAAAATCAACGAGGCTGAACCCTAACCTCGCCCAGTTATTGAATCAAATAATCCACAAGCCCAGTTGTTCTTACGACTTGCATGTTCTGATCGCGTTTATTTTGATAAGTCGATTTATATAGAAACCGCGCCTTTCTCGATCATCGATGTGAACGCAACACGGTTAATGTGATACTTTTCCTATTTAGAGAGAACGTTTAAATAATAATCTCGGTACAGAGTACTAAAAAAACCGACCTCAAAAGTACGTGGAATTACATATAATTACCAAGTTTTATTGAAATCGATTGCCGGAAAGTGCGCAAACCCGGATTCATCCCCTAGTTCGCCACTATACGGAATATACTAAAAATCGGTTCTCACTACTCAAAGTATATTGAGAGAAAAACGCCTTGAATTGGAGAATAGCAAAACCAACCATTAAAATTTGCTTATAATAATAAAATTTAGGCGCTATTTATAAAAATGAATCTTCATGCGTGAACTGTCACCCTTAGAGGTGGATGATTTTCTTCAAAATTAAAAACTCTTTCCAACAAAAAAAGAATTATGAAAATCGGTTCACAAATACCTGAGTTATCACGTAACATACATACAAAAAAAAAGCAGTCGAATTGAGAATGAGTCGAATTCAAAGTCGGTTAAAAAGAACTCGGTTTATACATACATATTTATTTTACTCCACAATATCATAAAATTCCTTCTAGAAACAATACACTTAGGTGAATAACACAGATAGAACATTTTGACGATAAAATCAGTTACATTAAAATAACATTTGACTACCTTAATAATCGGTAAGTGGATTAAGAATAAAAGTAAGCCGAAAAGTTTACAGGTTAAACATTACAATACTATTCTCCAATTAACAATGGAAAACTTTCATACTTTTCCTAAAACTGGCTTTTAAATACCATACTTATTAAGATGTATACATCGAACACAGAGAAGTAATAATTATTACATGTTTCCATCAGCAAGTTGCAGGGTTATGCAAGTGAAGCCGGTCTTTAAAATTAATTCATAGAAATTCTCATTTAAAATATCTATGAATACAAACATTCAAAAATCAATCTTATCGAGGACGCTTCGCTTACCAATGAAAACACGCCTTTTGACTAAATGTTAGGGTCATCTAATGGCTAACGTACTTTATTGAATTGGTTGAACAGTTATCAAATCTCAATGTGTGCCCTAGAAAATTCATATAAAGTTACTGCGAAAGCAAACGTTGGATTAGCTTTGGTGGTAATTATCATGAATCAATACTACTTTATTGCCGCAATGGTTCATAGTCAACATCACAATTTGTGCGCGTGGTTTGATAAAAGGTGTATAAACTGACAGCACACTTATAGGCCACGAAGTTGGCATTTGATATCAACTGTTATTTTCAGAAGAAATTCGTTCTTAAAAATTTCGCATATAGCGCGGCCTTGTAAATTATTAGCTTGAATAAACCGTGAAAGTAATCTAAAACACCTAACATTAAATGGTAAATTTAAGCTATACATTCAGAGTACACAAAACATCTGCACATTTAACAAAAATTTATTTAATGTCGATTAACTCAATACGCATTGATTTTTCATTAAAGCACTTTTCAAGAAAAATTCCTTCGATGTTTATCTGTTCAATCTTTGTGCAATAATATAAACACGTAAGGGTTCCTTAATTCTATGACTAAGTCATAATTTGTAAAATGCCCAGAAACTATACCTAGTTAATCATTTTGGATGTATATATTTTTTTATTTATTTCACTGGTCAGATTATTTTGATGTTGACTGTGCGTACTATTATTAATAATACGGAGCGCTAAGGACTAATTTCTTTTGATTTGGCGAGTTTTAATTAATAGCATATTGATTTAAAAAGGGTGTGATGCCGATACGCATTGAAATGATTTCATACTACAACACATACGTAATTACTACTCTAGACGTAAATGCTACTAATACTAGCACGTAGTAAGTGACTACCAGTTACAAAAATAGTTGATCAGAAAAATAATTATCATACTGAAATTTTGAGTGCACTCAACACTATAATAACGGGCTCTAGTTTTGTGCTCACCAGATGACGCATACGGCTTATGACTGTGAAGTCCAGTCAAAAGTATATAGAAGCGCTGCAGTGGCGCTGGAGCCGCGCAACTACTAATTTTCATACAATATTTAGAAGCGCAGCAGCAGCGCACAGTCGCGCCATGCGCGCGCCTCTTTTGCAGATCAAATATCGTATCAGAAGGCGACCTTCTTCATATTGCAATAGTATGTTACTAGGTCAATATTTGGCTATATGCTTAGATCTTGTACGTAACAGTTTAATAGTGCCAAATACTAAATAATCACAACTAAATTTTAATATTTTACATCTATGGTGAAGAGTAATAAAAATATTAAGATGCACTACTAAGTTATCTAAAAAAGTGTACGTTAGTTGACAAACGCGTGCATACGACTAAACATTCCGGATCGCCAGCACCTGCGCCCTTATTACTTTGATAGGCTTAGGATTCTTAAATTGAACAAGGCTTGTGTAGTTCTCCTAGAATATTCCCGTTATTAATCGAATTATTTGATACTGCATATTGTCTTACGTCGAAGCGTCATGCTGCATCTCGCATCTCGCACCTCTCTCTGTAAGTGCTCCTTAAAAATAAGATTTGTTCGATCCCCACTGGCAGTCACAGCTTACTACAACCTTCAGCGTAAGAAGGTGTCGCCAATTGGCCATGATTTAATAGCCTTTGACTAGCAACTAATGGTTTGGGTGTGAGGAATATTTTCTGCATCGTAGTGTAGTCTCCGGATTCTATTAAAACTTTCACCCTTAATACAATGGGTAATGACACATCACAACAAATCGCGGACGTTCACTGAAATGAAGTCGAAAATTATTTTATTGTACAAGTTTAACCTATAATTACTCTTTTCAGACTGTATTTACTTTTCTTCTAATGACATGCAATCGTAGAAAAAAATTGGTTGGTGATTAAAAAGTCAGCTGTATAGCGGTATAAGTATTACGGTGCGGTCAATGTTGTCACAGGGTTCTTTTTATAACCGAAATTTCATAGCATAATATGCCTTTTCTTAATATAAGAAATAAAATAGTTTCTAAATAAATTAGTTACTTATTGCACGGGTGTTTAAAAAAATATATTAATTTCCCGTAATAAATGGTACAATATCTAATTTGGTTACATCACGCCGATGATGACCATCCGCGCTATGTAGCGCCTGTGCTACTTATTTTTGCTACTAATTTTCCTAACTGGTCTTTATAGCGTTCACATATAAAGTTCTTTATGGATATATCTATGATCATAGTTATAATACCCATAAACAAAATAAGCATTGAAAAACGTGTGTGAATATCTATCTATACATTTCGACAAATAGAAGACCTTTCGCCTAAATGGCGTCGACTGATGGCGCAAATATTTCTAGAGACCATAACTTTAAAAAAAAAATTGTGGTCATAACAATTTCTATTAAACATTGGCCACTACAGTTTTATTTTTCTGATCACAACTAAATGCCATTAACGTTATTATAAATAAATATCCATAAAACTTTGAAAAGCTTGGTTTAAAGGTGCAATTGTTTAAGGACAAGAAAACTTTGATAGTAATATGACTTTAGTATATAAGAGTAATTCATAAAAACTAATTTATTTGCCACGATTAAAGTTAGCGACAGTTATTACACAACAATACAAACGACGTGCGGTTATTCTGGCACATTCATGCCCCTGGCCGACCATCGGCGGGTCACAATTTTTCTGTACACTAAGGAAAATTCATTTTAAATATGGAACATAAGTCTGCGTTCACAATACTTTGAATATAAATTAATAATATTACCGAAATGACTTAGAAGGTGCAGTTCCTGCATATGTAAAAATAAGTTATCCGTAAAATGCAGTATTTCAAATAGTCTTTATATAATATGATATTAAATTATTACTCAGTATAATAATTATACTAAAATCCAGGCTTCGATGTTCTACGGATTTCGAAAATTGTATTACTATTTTATTATAATTATAATTTGATATCATAAATTCGGTAGAGCAAGTGAAAGTTATTATTATTATTTCCATAATAGCGGCCACTAAACTTTGATATAAATATGTTGTCGGTTAATACTGATCGACAACTTCAACGATTAGGCAGTAGCAAGGAATTTATTTTGATTCCTAGGTACTTATTAATCAGTTAAGATGTCACTACTCAGTGACATTTAATATTCCGTCACAAGCCCTAGAGACACAGTGTGTCTCTAAATATTTTGCTTTTTTTTAATACATTTTTTAATAAATTAAGAAAAAAATAGTTGTTAAAAAGGCGGCTGCGTACTAGAGACACAGTGTGTCTCTAAATATTAAGGACACCTTGTCTCTAGAACGCGTGACTGATCGGATGTTTTTGTTGAGATCATGTACTTCCCAGTATGCGGGCATCCTAACCGTACTTACCTTATCAATTCAACTTTTAAGTATCTCAACAGTTTAAAAATATGGTTTAAACGATGATGACCATTACTGCCCTCATCTTGCTTAGCATGTTCAGCAAATTTATATTTTTAATCATCCTGCATTCATTAAAACTACATTTTTGATAATAGTCTAGAACTCATCAAAGCTGTAGTTTATTTTGAATGAAAAAAAAATTATGTTTCATTTCCAAGGTGAGAGACTGCTCAGTGTTGCCAGATGTTTGTGATGTAATATACCTTATTTTAAAGGATTTTTTTTTTGGGAGATTACAACTAGACGGGAAAGCTTCCCTACTGAAGCACAACTGGATATTATTTCTCAATATACTACTACTACATGGAAAGTAATTCTATAACTTTTGACTTTTATTTGACAGTTATAGGTTAGAAAAAGTAGTTTTTTATTAAATAAATGAAAACCGAGGAACCGATTCATAATCTAGGTCCTGTGTGCTTTATAATGCGCCATGTGTAGCTTATGGACATGCCAGATTAAGATTAGGGCATGCCTCCATATTGCATCGGTCATCGTCCTTTGAAGTAACGTTATAGCGGGACCTCTTATCGATATAATTAAAGTCGCCCGTTTTTTAACATATTAAGGTAATTCGAAGCTTGGACTTTAGAAAATACTGTAATGTGGCATGACAGACAGATGACAATAATTCGTCGGTCAGCCCAAAAAAGTTATTTTTAGACCCTGAAATGAAGGCACTAGTACAGAGTTCTGACACAGTGAAGACATCAAAAATACGCAACATTACAAGGGTCCAAATTTAACTCCAAAACGCTCAAGCATTGTACTAGAGCCTGTTTTCTGTCACGCGGGTTTTAATTGGCACGCGAATATAATAGAGATGTAACATGTGCTATATAGACGCAAGATGCTTTTGGCAACGAGGGCGTAAGCTCTACTATATGTAGCGCACTATACATAATTTGATTGCAAACCCTTTTTTTAGTTTTCACATTTTTCCTATCAAGATATATCCTATTTGCCATGGTACCATATAACCTTTTTGAAGGTTACCACCAAAATCCGCGTGAAATGAAAAATGCCCTTTGCCTGATAAATATAGCAATTCCAGTATTAAATGTCATGGTTATTAATAGTAAATAACTATATTTTATCCTTTTTTACTGGGTGTAGTAAACCTTGTAGTATAATGTCTTGGAACGCCATAGACTGTACGTGTTGTCAAATTTAAGTAAATATACACCTTCGCCGGGGTACGTGTGTGATCCAGCATATACCTGAAATAAAACCAATATATATTTATATACTGTACCTGGGGTCAACCATGCAGTTGGATATCAATTGTTTAAGAACTACATAACAAATTATATCTGACTATAAGATATACATTTCATAAACACATATTTATAATAATAATAACGTACACACTCAACATAGCCCCGCACTAGGGAAAACCTGTGTCGCGGATGCCATGGACACACATAGACAACCACAAATTACACCCAAACTCACGAGAGAAATAAATGTAGGCCATACAAATATTTCTTCCGGCCCAGGAATCGAACCTGGGACCTCTGGGTGGCAGTCCGGCATGGTAGCCGTTCGACCACGGAGGCAGTTGAGTTGAGTTATCAGATCATCTTTTATTTCGAAAAAATGTTCTACATTTTTTATAATTTTTATTATTTAGTATACATATTTATAAATTTTATATTTTTTTATAATTATTTCAGTAAATTCTGTAATTTTTTTCTCAACATCTGTATTTTTTGAGTGAAAATTAAAAATTAGAAAATTCCGAATTTAAGAAAAAACATGTAACAAATTGTATTGTATTGTGCATTAAGTATTAGTGACGCCATCTAGTGGTATTGATAAGTACTGAGGAGTTCACATAGGGCGTTTTCCATATAACAGTACCTCAGTGTGGCAGTCGCGGCGGTAGATCGGGACGACAAGACTGACAGGCGGCTTATGCCCAGTGAGCGTGCGTTTTTCACTGCCCTGCTCCAGGTCGGAGCGGAGTACACCATCCGCGCCTATCACCTCTGCAAATATTTGATTTGATATTAATTTAGTTGCATAGTTTTCCGAACTTATATCGTGAGTAATGTCCCTCCAAGTATGTAAGGGTAACGAGTGGTCAGTTGAGAATAGTTGAGATCCTCCTTTTAGTACCACGATCAAGAAAGGGTGACCATTACTTCAAAGCGGTCCCCTTTTCACGTCTTACTTTCTTTACACATGATAGTGTTATTTTCTCGTTAGTGTTTTCTACCTAATTCCGGTGGCAATAAGTATTCTAGTATGTTGCCATAAAATATTAAATAATATTTCAGGCATCGAGTATATAACCAGAAATAGAGACGAAACATCATTTATCATCACAGGTCAGTAGATGGCCTGTCTATATTTCGATGCAAACGAGAGTTGATATTTATAAGAGCTGTATCCCTAATGTGTTACCTGGAATATATGGCCCCTATTTCGTCTTTATTTCTGGTTATATACTCGATGATTACAGGATACTAAGCTCGAATATTAAATAATACTTTACGATAATATTCTAGAATACTTAGATAATAAAAATTGCCACCGAAATTAGGTACAGAACACTAACCAGAAAATTCCAATTCCTTCCAATTCCTTTAGCCAATCCCATTCCTGTAATGTGTTACTACTCAAATTTCACAATGTTAAAAAGTGTAAACTGCACTTGATTAGAAAGACATTTCATTTAAATTAGTTTTTGTAAAATATGAAAACGCAAGCTGCCAATCAAGCAGACGCAGAACAAATAACTTGCCATCATCAGGAAAGCTTTCTTCTTCAATATCATCCTCTTCGTCACTGTCTGACACATGAATTGTCACTTCCGTCGTTGGAGACTTGCTCCACTCGAAGTACACGCCGAAACCTGAAGGGATACGTTCTAATGATTAGACAATAGTAACAATACAGATAAATACATCATCAAAAATCAACTCTATATTTTCAAGAACTGATGAACAGGCACGTCGCATCCGATCGGCTGGTCTGGAAATATGTGGGGGGGGCCTATGTTCAGCAGTGGACGTCTTCCGGCTGATGCTGATGATGATGATTAATAGGCTAATTAATGAACTACGAACTGTTAGGAAGAATTACTGACACTAACCGAAATGAACTAGTTTCTCTAGCACGATCTTAATAGTTCACGGGTCTTTCTAGTTCAGTAGAAACTAGGAAGCGCTTGCGTTGCGTAGATCTTACACACGGCGACTTTTAGTAGCGATGCAAACGCGATGCCGTAGCTAATCGTCTACCTTTAGACACACGCGCGACTTTCAGCAGCGATGCAAACGCGCGACTGGATCGCTACACTTGTGATTTATAAGCGATTGTATCGATCCAGTCGCGCGTTGCATCGATGCAGTTGACTATAAATCGCGTAGCGCCGCGTTTCACGAACGCGCGTTTGCATGATTTTTTTAAAATTCTCAATTCAAATGAACCTGTGCCCAGCAGTTGGACGAATAATGAGCCGACGATGATTCAGATGAAACAAGGTCGGCTATATATTCATAAATAAGCGTAATCAGCATTCAGTCAATAGTAAATGTAACATTTATCGACTGCAATCACTAGCTGCTTGCAAGCGCGATAATACTTTTGCGTAATGAACTGTCATTTTACTCCATCTTCAAAAAAGCCAGACTAGTGGATAAATCCGGTTTCGCGCACTTTCCGGTAACCGACTTCAATAAAACTTAGGCAAATAGATGTAATTCCACGCACTTTTGAGGTCGGTTTTTTTAAATAAAAATGTTATAATTATTACTATTTTCAGGAACTGCACGCCTTTGTGCATCCTCTGCAATACGTTGTCATTGGTGACTATCCGTCGACAATATTTTCAACATTCTTCGATAAACCCACATTTCGAAGGCTTCTAACCGTATACTTAGTGTCCATGCTTCTATTCCGTACAAAAGAATAGAAAATCTGTAACACCGCACTAAATGGCATCTTGTCGATAGTTTGAGACTACTATTGCCAGGGAGGTGGCTCATTTTAATAAAGGCACTCCTGGCTTGGCTTGGCTCCACATCATCTGTGAGTTCTTGCTCTACGCGTACATTTGTTATCTGCTGCCAGTAAATATTTTTAATCACTAAGATGTCTTTAGAATCTAGGCCTATCTTTTCCAAGATCTTTATCAACTTGTCATGTTTCACATAATCAAATGATTTCTCATAGTCGATGAAACACATGTAGGCGCATCCATACGTATCTCAACAGCGTTGCATAAGTACTTTCTAACCCAAAAAGTGCGTCAAGTGTTCCATAACCATTTCTAAAACTGAACTGTCTCTTCCAAATGTTATCTTCACACTTCATTCTTTCATGCATAACCTTGAGAAACACTTTCAGGATGTGGCTCATTAATGGTGCTAATTTTTGGCAAAGCTATAAAGATAAGGTGGAGCCATTCTGAAGGAATATAATATCCATGTGTTATTATTCTAATAATTTTAGGATTTGGACGGCAATTTCATCTAGTCCACTGCTTTCCCTCTTTTTGCAGATTGGATTGCGTGGGAAATTTCATCCTTCGTAATAGGTGGTCCAGTTTGTTGTGCACGTATGTAATCGTTACTCGAAATGTTGATCGTGAAATAACTCTTCAATGTATTCCTTCCATAGCCTTTATCGATTCTCAATTCAGTTCAGTAGGAACTGGATAATAAGCGATGTTTCACGGCTTTTAGTACAAATTCAAGTGAGATGTACGAGTGGATGTTGTCAGCCAGTTTAAGTCTATAATACGTAACACTCAAAGACACAATTGTAATTGTCAGATTAATCAAGTAGTGCCGATTTCATATAAAATTGTAGTTTTAATTAAAGATGTAATATTGATCTAAAGTACTAGAAGTCTGATGTAGTTAATTTGAATAAAAATACTAGTTTGGAGCGTTCATTCGATCTCCTAGCAAGTACAAGACGAACTAAAAGAACTAGAAGACCGAACTAGTTCAGTTGACCCATTTATTCACTTTAAAGACCGAGCAAGTATAAGTCTACTGAATAACGTATACTGGTGAAAGCGAAATAAGTATGTCTAAACAGTACCAAGTGGTGATCTTGATATTGCTATATTAATAGGAGTAAGTTACCAATGTCATAGCTGTCGGTAGCAAACTCCCAGCAAAGTTTAGTGGCGCGCGGGTGCGTAGGCACACGCACGGTGACTGTTTCTCCATGCCCTACAGTGAGCTTCCCTCCACCGGCGCCAGCAGACTCCTTGAACTTGTTGATATCACCAGACGTCCACATAGATGCTTCGTCCACGCTCGAAAACCCATCTAACAAATAATTACAATTTTGTGTATTTCAATTTCTTTTACTCAATCGTTGGACCTGGTTAATATGGACTACTAGGTGGTTAGTTTCTTAGCATTGGCCTGTGATTGATTAAGTCGATAATATTAAATTAAATAAATCTGAAAATTTATCGATAAAAACATTGACAATGTTTTTATCGATTTGACATTGACAAACAATTATATGGACGTCGGGTCCGCGCTAAAAAGTGTCTGAACTTATAGGGCGTTAAAATCGTACACAGAGCGTCATTCACGCTTTAGTCCTCGTTTGTTCGACTGACAGCGAAGCAAGCAAAATTAGACAGTACTGCGACGACATTACAATTTAAATTCAACGTTTTAGCTTTTTCATATTCCTTTACATGTCACTACGTTTATATAGGTTGACTTGGGACATTTTTTTCGTGATTTTTGTATTAGACCCGTCGTCCATTTATTTGTAAGTCAATGGATAAAAACATTGTTTTTACTAACTTATAAATAACTATGAAGAAAGTTTCAAGTGCATTAAGACTACTTTAGATTGAACTCTCACTACATAAAGAATTGTTTGTAATGCGGGATCGACAAACAATCGTTCTGTAATATTTCAGAGTACTCTCCAGATTGCTGTATAAATTACTGTCAGGGCCTACATAACTTTATTGGGTAAGCAACTCTAATCATCACTAATTACAGCAGTGGTACGGTTTAAAAACATTTATATCGTCGCTTACATCGCATATCAGCATTTAATGTGTAGAATCGATTAGATAATTTGTTACCCTCATTTTCCGATTCCTCATCCGGCCTCATTTCCTCAGAGTATTCAGCGGTTTCACCTTTATCGAAAGTCTGTAAAGACCTGAAATTATAAAAACCGTTTAAAATTGGACAACAGTAGTCAATACATTGTAATAGCATTGGTAGAATGTAGAAATCGATAAAATTTTATTAAACTACTGATATGAACGTATATGCTTATCTTAATCAGTAGTTGTTATGATTTTTCATCAAAATAACGAACATGCTGCAGTTAAATAAGTTAACGTACAACATTGCTCTTATGACACACGGGAAGATAAAAGAGATTTGATGTCTCATAGTTTATTGTAAGTAAAATTTATAGACTACAATCAAATTACAAATAAGACCTTTTTCGTACATATATATATATGTATATATATATATAAATATAAATGTGTGTATGGTTTCCAAACATATCAATTTAGATCCGGCACAGTTTTTCGGAGGTTTCGAACGTTCTTCGAAGTGCAGATTTCCTTTACCGAAAAGCTCATGGTAATTTTAAATTAAATTTCGTACATAAAATCCGTAAGATATATGTGTATATAAATTATAAATGTGTATATATAAATGTGTATATATAAATGTGTGTGTGTGTGTGTGTGTGTGTGTGTGTGTGTGTGTGTGTGTGTG